GACAAAAATCTATAAATACGCCGTTGACAATCATCCGAAATTTTAATAAAAATAAAAAAAAAAAAAAACCGTAATTTTCGACGGATTAATATGTTTTTTTGGGCGGAGAAAAAAAAACTCGGAAATACGCGCGTTTATTTGCGTTCACTCTGTATACAGACACCGATGTATTTAATTTGGAACACTGTGCAGACTATTTTATAAAATTGGCTCGTTGTGATAATAATACAAATATATACGTTTGTTAATATAAAAACTGTGCACACGTGTTGCTCAATAATAATAAAATATAAGTGTACGTCAAAATATGTACAATATTATACACATGCGCGTCCCGCGTAGTTGGTTTTTGTGTGTCAAACAGGCCGAAAACCAAATTTAAAACAACAAAAAAAAAAACAATCGCATAAATTGACGGTTTTTTTTAATGTTAAAAGATAAAATTTAAAAAAAAAAAAAAAATGAAGATTTTTAATACGTGGCGTTCGGAATACGAAAGTTATAACAATGACCAATTTAGGAAAGCCCGTTCTGCGCGCATGCAAAGTTCTCGGTTTCCATAAACGTATTTTAAACAATAAACTATACATCCATAATACAATTTTGAAAGAATTCGGTAACCTAGATAAGTATATATTATTACGCTTGTGTGTAGAAACCTAAATAAAATGAACGTCTAGATTTGTAAATAGTTGAACGGAACATTTTTTTTAAATTCTCAAAGTACTCATAAATTTTTACTCATCTATCTTTTAGATAATGAGTGGAGCGAAGAATGTATTAGTTTTACATTGATGTTTATTTTTTTTTATACCAACACTTTTTCTACCAGAAAGCTTACTCGAATTATTTAAGCACAGCATTTTTCCGAAAGAAAATGTTCTATGAGTGATACTTTAAAGAGTTCGTTTTTTGACATTCTCATTAATATTCGAGATATTGACGAAAACCTGATTCTGTGAGTTAAAAAAGATTGAGAGGTTAAAAATAAGGTTGTCACTGGCAACCGATTGTATATATTTTTTGTTATTATTCATTTTTTATCGTTTTAATTTTTTTTAAACAATCATTGCTGTCATGAAAACTCACATTGTTGAGAAAAGTAGGTAAATAGATACTTCAAATTAGATTACATTTTATAAAATTAATTTTTAAGGTTAGTAATAATATGAATAAGGATGATGTTTCACCTATTTACCACACAAAAACTTGTTAACATTTGGAAAAACAATTGGCTAATTAATTGTAAACTAATTGAAAAACACATTAAAACTAGTTACAATCAATATCTCGACTGATATAATTTATTATTTATTTTATTTATTAAATTGTAATTACAATTAATTTTATTATGAATCAACTACAAATATAAAATTGTAGAATATTAACATTTTTTTACTACTTACACAAAATATACGTGTTTACTGAATAATTAGTCGTATTCAATATTATACATTATACTTAACATATACATCGTTGACAAAGCATCAACCATCGACTGAACTCCGCTCAGAATCGTTTTTTCGTTAGCAATGGTTTATCGTTGCTTCTAGATATACATTCAGTTTTCTTCTATATCCTACCTTCCAAACTAACCCACCCACAACAGTGGCTGCACCCACGTGCGAAGTATGTCCGTCTTTGTTTTAATATTGGCTACTATGAAATTATATTTAAATTATAACAATGTTATAACGTATGATATTGTTATACATATTGCTTGTCAACCAAACCAACAACAAAATATTATATACGTACTGCAGTAAATATATACGGTTGGGCGGATACAACGGTGATACAAGGTGTTCTTGTAACTTATGTTTAGAAATCTAAAACCGCCTCTCTGATTGTACTACGTGGTCTGTGTCTCGAAAATGTCGGTTTATTATATTGTTATTATCATATGCAATGCACAGTTATTAAAATGAACGTAAACGGGAAGAGGTTGAGAGGAAGACCGAAAAAGAAGTGATTGGAAGTGAATGGTATGAGAATAGGCGGTGTATGCGAGACGGCCGATCAGGTCAAGTGGAAGTTTATAACGAGAGTGTTCGACCCCTAATAGTTGGGATGAAGGCGAATGAAAAGAAGAAGATGTAAAACGGATAGTCGTTCGAAAAATTTTGTGAAGCCAACATAACTATAGGACCACGGTAAATGCCACGATATCGTAATATTTCAATAAAAGTGATAACAATTAATTGCTCGGATTGCGGATCAGTAAGCAGTCGCGCGAACGCAAATTAGAATTTAAAAACAAGTACCAAAATGTAGGTAGAGGAGATTATTTTCGATATTTAATGTGGCTTTCTTCTAAAAAGTTTTCAAATAAAAAGGTATAAAACTATTTAAAAAAAAAAAAAAAAAAAACTAGACAAAACCAGAAACTTGAAAAACTGACATGACTATAACTTTTTCGTAGCCACAGTAAAATATGTTGGACAAAAAACCCGCGTACCTCAAAAATATTCCCCCGGTTATAATTCGTTATTTGTGTTTAAACTCTAATTTCAACCAAAAACACCAAGATTTGTGTAAAGTAATTTCGCTGTTTTGTCCGTTGGTATTTGACTGAAACAGTAAACGCGAGTATTACGTCCTCAGAAATAAACCAACTAAATGTGAATATAACGTCTCATCTGGCTTTCAAAAGCAGTCTTGGGTGTCAACACTACAACTTATATTCCTTCGCGTATCTGATAACATGTTTCCATATCTCTATTATAGTATACGCATTGTTCCCCAATCAATATTTCCCGTTTCCCGGGCCTTTTTTAGATTCTGAGTAGAGCGAAGAAGCTTATAGTTTTATAAAGATGTTTTTTTTTTTTTTTTTATCTGTGAACAACTTTTCAACCAGAAATCTTTACAATGGTAGACATTTTTCTAAAAGGAAATCCGACTGGGCAGGTACTTTTAGAAAGTATTTTTTTTTATTTTCCCTACGACTTTTCCCAATAAATGGGAAAACCGGTAAAAACACGGGAGAACCGTAGAAAAAACGGGAAAATAAATACAATTTTAAACAAATATTATTAAAGAAAAATACGATAATGCCAATGTAATTATTTTACCACAATATGGCATATATATATATATATATTGTTGACAAAGCAACACTATCAACTGAACTCCGCTCAGAAACGTTTTTTCGTTAGCAATGGTTTATCGTTATTTACAGATATACCTACATTAAATTTCCCCTCTACTATCTTCCCAACTTCTCACCTACAAAAGTGGCTGCGCCTACGTGCAAAGTATGTCAGTCTTTTTTTCAAAACTATAATTGTCTATCGAAAAAAAAAAATACCATGTTACCCAACGGAATTTCTCGATTGTTTCTCATTAACGCTTGTCTCGAAACGTACAAATCTTCGTTATACCCTTTCGTATACACAATTATTATTATTATTACGGGTTATGTTTATTTTGAATCCAGATGCAGGCAATATTCTATGGTTTTTTTTTTTTTTTAATTTGTATTCTCTGTAAAATCGAATGATATACACATTATATTATGAAAATTAATATTCTTCTCGGTCGCGTGCCACTGCGCTCGAGCCGTTCTTTAATTATTTTGACCCTTCGGACGAACGAGCGATGCGTATAATATAAGAGGGTCATCTGTACCGTCCTCGTGAACACGCGCACGTATACAATATTATTATTATTATTATATTATCATCACGCGGTTTAAACTACAGCGTATCGGAACATTAAATATAGAAGGGAAAAAAATAGGTACCTAATTTTTATTAATCATTTAAAAAAATTAAAAATAGCGGCCGCGGATAACATTTTAAAGCTTATTAAAATACAAGTGGTCGAGCGTGTAATACATACAAAATAATCGAAAAGCTGAATTTAGACAAAAAAACTAAAAAAACAAAACATTTTATTTTTTCGGCTTTTTTAGTATATTATTTTTAAAATTCTGTGATTTATACATAATTTTGCCATAAACGCAAATAGTGGTTTAGCGGGTATAGCCCCACAAACTCGGCTAAACCTCTGCAAATCAAGTCCTTATCCAGTTAATACTAATTATAAACAATCAATATGATTGGACATTAAGTCCATCCCCCAATATATTTGGGCTATTTGTGCCTATGTTATTTATGTTTATAGTGATTACTAGTGCAAGGACTTTCATGCATTCGCATATTTTTTTTTTTGGTTAACTTTAACGTAAGTAGAGTAAGTACACAATACATTTCACGATGTTTGTGACCAAAAGCTCAAAGTTTTTAGTGCATTTTTTTTGACATTTTTGGGTTTAAAGGACATATTTTTGATTATAAGAGTATACTTTACGTTTTTAGTGCATATTTTGAAGGATTTTCGAAAATCATGTACTTTGGTGAATATTTTTCACGAATCAAGGACAAAAATTATTATATTTAACTGTTTCTATATAATTTCTCATAAAGACGATAGAGACTCATTTTATCTTAATTGTGAATGGGTAGATTGGATTACAATAAAGTGATATCAAATTATTTACCACGTTTATTTTCGTATTTTTGTGTAACGGATTGTACGTAGTAAAATATTTATTTAGTTCACGCGTGTGTATTACGTTTTATTGTAAGTTTAATTTTTGTATTAACTATAGCAATATGCCAAACTGTCGGAATTCAATTCAGATTTATGTAAAACTTTGCTATCCTCAAATATACCACTTTATAAACTAAAAAACACTAATTTTAAGAGTTTTTTTAGAAAAATATATGCAAATATATGTGCCTGACAAATCGACACTTCAAAAATATTATGTGAACGATTGTCATAACCAGATAATGGATAAAATAAGGGTCACTGTCCAGGATAAAAAAAATATGGACATCAATTGATGAAACTACCGACATCAATTGTATATACCTTCCATTTTAATAATTGGTACACTAGAAATTGACTGTCCTGGAAAATTTATGTTGTTGACTCCCGATATGTTAGAAAATGTTAATCACTCGACAATAGGAAAATTATTTAATAGATCAATGGCTTTATTTTGGCCCAATGGTGTTCAGCATAACGATGAATTATTTTTTGTAAGCGACGCAGCACCATATATGGTTAAATCAGCATCTGTAATAAAAGTTTTTTATTCCAAAATGGTTCACATTACGTGTTTGGCTTATGGTCTTCACAGGGTCGCAGAGGAGGTTCGTACCGTGTTTCCAAAAGTATACAAACTAATTTCGAATGTTAAAAAAACTTTTTTAAAAGCACCATATCGAGTCCAAATTTTTAAAAACGAAGCTCCTGAAGTAATGCTACCACCTGCATCTATAATTGCTCGTTGGGGGACGTGATTAGACGCAACAGACTATTATTGTAAACATATATAAAGCATTCGAAATGCTTTTATGAAGTTGAATGACGATTCAACTTCCATATTAACTTTTATAACTTGGTTTGTGTTACAGCAAACTTTGGAATTATGTCTAAATCGATTACTCAGTTTGAAAAACGTGGATTAAAACGAGTCGATTCGATTAACACTGTAAACAAAATTATAGACGAAATTAACGTAATTAATACACAATCAAAGAATATAGAATCAGTAGTGGAAAGACTTAAAAAAATAATAGAAAAAAACAAAGGTTTCAATACGCTTCATAAAATTTCAAATAAATTAAACGGTACTGAGGAAAACATCGAAATTGATGAATTAGGAGATTTGAATACTAGTGAAATGGTTTGCTTCAAATATGTACCGATCACGTCAGTGGACGTCGAAAGATATTTTTCGCAATACAATAACCCGCTGACAGATAAAAGACGTTCTCTGCTATTTGAAAATATCACCGAAACGTTAATAATTCAGTGCAATTCTGATTTAGATAAGGTAAATATTTGAGAATAATTCAACGATTATTTTTAATTACCTATTTTGTTTTATTAGATACAGAATAATAATCACTGATTACGATAAATAAATGCGTATTTCACGTATCTCCGTATTACGTTGCATCTATGACTACGCGTGTGGGATCGCCTATATAAAGTAGAAACCGTTTATAACGACAAGGGACGATGATCCAAGGGAATAGTTAAAACCAGTCATAATAACCTATTGCCATTTTCACCGAAATGATAAAATAAAATTTAAAAACTTGATTATGTGTATGTATTTGTGCGGACACAATATTGCATTACAATCAATGTATCGTGTTTCTATCGCTAAATCGTGACTTCAATACACGCAGAAAATTAAAAAAAAAAAATAGTTTTATTGTTTTAAAATTAAATTTACATAGAATTAAAAAAATATTATACACAAAACGCAGTTAATCGCACGACGATTTCGATCAAGTGTACGATCGTCAGTACACTGACGATAAAATTACAAACCGATAATACATTTAGTAATGTACTAGAATTTTAGATTACAGAGTATAGACAGATAATATTATTTTCCACAAAAGTAGGTATGAATACCTTAAATACCTGTAATAATGTTAGAAATACAATAAATTAAAGTTATTTCCACCACGAAAAATCATCGGGGGGTTTTATTTGTTAGTGTGTGAAATGCACTAGGTACTTAAAAACATGCGGAATTTCCGTCTCGTAGTACTTAATCTGAAAACAGTTTCTACATTTTTTTAAAACAGTTTTTATATACAAAACCACAACAAAACCGACAATAGAATACATAGTTACCACTTGATTATACAAAAGAAACAACATTGCTAATAATAACATGAACTAATATTATACTCCTTTTGGAATCGTATTTCGATTGTAATAATTTATCATTGCATTCGGTAAATTAATTATTCTATAGTACCCATAATAAACCGTTCAAACTCCACACCTACTACAGTGGCATACCCGTGGTGCGAAATACGTCCGTGGTTTTGTAATCGGTTGCGTTCGGTAAAAACGGTATCGAAAAACGTATTAAAACCGCTTTATAAGAGAAACGGCCGAAAAACAAAAAAAAACAAAATTAGGCTAGGGGTGGCAAAATGCTTAATACGTCACTGTCAGCCCCCCACTGTTACCGCGTTTATGTGCAGTTGATAACGCGCAGTAAATAACCAGATAACCTTATTTAGTGCGCGTTATCGTGCGGTTTAATATATGTTGTAAATATATTAATTTGATATTCGATTCCTACTAAAAATATTGATCCATTTATTCTTTGCGATCATTTCGCGATGCCAGAGTTACAGAGAAAATAATCCGATATGGCGGATCGATAGGCTTTTTAAACACGCGTCAATACAAGGTGCGTACAGGCGCGCGGTAGCCAGAAAATGTTCGCGAAGCGGGTCGGTATTAAGCGCGCTCCACCCTCCCCTCTAAATTTATATTGAAAAAAAACAAAAACAAAAAAAAAGCAGGTAGTTAAGCATTTGGCGCGTTACGACAACAGACACCGAGTACGAGCAAGTGGCGAATTGATAAATGCCCCGTTTTTTCAGTTTACCGATGAGCGCGGCGGGGAAAAAAAAAAATTAAAAAATACATATGTATGTATACACGTATATTTCATTGATGACGGTTCGAATAATCAAGCGCCCCGCCGAGTATTTCCGGAGGGGGGGGGAGACGGACGCTCTCTCCCCCGCCCCCGCCCGCCCCTCCTCGCGGAAAAGCGAACGCGTGCAGAACGCGCGAGTTTGTGTTCGAACGCGAACTGTGTGGTTTCGCGACGCGCGCCGGCGACCGTCCGACCCCGTGTACCCGCGCGGCGCATCGTACCGCCGCAGGTGAGTCATCGGGCGCGATTCGGAAAAAAAAAAATAACGCGAAAACCTCGCGTCTTATCCGTGACCAGCCGTACCGCGTTATGACAACCGTGCGTGGCGGCACACGTTAGAGCGGCTCCCCTCCCCCCCCTCCCCCGATGTATCGGTCCGAAATACCGGCCGCGCGTACGAAAAATATTCCGCGTTTTATCGTCGCGCGTCCGGTGCAATGCGCAGGGAACGAGAAATAATCGAAATACCAATCAATAATCGAAACAATCGAATCGACGGGAACTCGAGGGGAATGGGGGGGGGGGGGGAGGGCGAGGTTTGACGCGGGTTGTAAAAACAGTCCGGTACAGTAAACGGTATCGCCGTACCCGCCGTGCCGCTGCCGTGCGGAGATCGCGCGCGATTCCGTTTTCGACGTTTTGGGCCGAAATTTACGATCGCTAAAAAAAAAACGCATTGCGTTTTCGCGGGATCACGGTGACCGTTGAACTGTGAACGGGAATCGAGCCGGACGTAATTCGCACCACGGGCGGGCCGCGCGCGCGGTAATTCAGTTCGCGTTTACACGCCGAGAGAAACAATAAATCGTCGCGGACCAGAAACGATTCTGAGTGGACGTCGGCGAACTAGTAATGCGTTTTCGGTATTGTTCGTGTTCACCCCCTTACGCGGTCAATAGGGGTGCACGGTTTTTCTGCTCGGAAAGACCGCGTCGTTTTACTAATACCACTACTCCGGGAAAAACCGATGTGTTTAATGCGCACATTTACGATGAAAATCATGCTCAGAGTATGCTTGGGTATGGACGGGAGAAGGCAATCACCCTCCCGGGCCCGTCGTTGAACAGAACAAACTTGCATTCATTTGATTTGTCCTACGTCCGAAAACGGTTTAATCGCTACGCAGGACAATACCTACATTTCAATATATAAATCTTGAAGTTTAAAATACATGAAAAAAATCTTTTTTATATTTTTTTTTTTTTTTTTATTCGTTTTATACGTACTGTTAATAATAAAAATAATGTTATTGACTTTTTTTTTTTTTTCAAGATATTTATCCGAAGGGGACATTTTTAAGGAAGGCCCGTGCAAAAAAAGTCCATGACATTTTTTTTCATTGGTCCCCTTTCTACGGTTTCAACCCGTAGAGTGATTTTCAGCCATCCTCCACTCTTCTGTATTATCCCCTTTCCTTTTCATCCGTACCTAACCTACGAATCGCATCATCGGTCCCTATTACTTGGTGTTTCTGTATCGGCTATTCTGCCCGTCCGGCTCATCTCCGACATTTTCCTATAACCCCGCATCTAGTCCTATAACCACGCTACCAGCCGTTTTCGTTCTTCCGCCGATATTAGTGATACCCATTGTTCGGGTTTCGCGCCCGCGTGGGACTAAACTCCGTACGCCATAATGCGTCTTCGATCGATTGCGTTCCCGACGCGCTGTTGTCGACCATACACCGGCTGAACTCCGTAAAACTTCGTAAAATAGCCGGAAACCCCGCGCGCAGTGACACTATTCGGTAGTGGGCCTTTGCAGCTGTAATTATTGTCCGTCGCGCATTTCAACGGTCAACGTAGGTAACGATAACAAATGCGGTATGTGTATGAGCGTATACGGCCGTTATCGAAAAATCCAAAACGTGACGTTCGCAACAACAATAAAAAAAATAAATAAATAAATAACGTCGCCCCGATGCGATTATAATATTTAACGCTAAACGTGTGCGTACGTATTTGCGGCAAGCGCGAGCGTGATATATTTTTTCATTACGTGTACGTTTCACCACATTATTTGTGTACCGTTCGGAAAACGCGCGATGAATAATTATAAGCAATCGGAAGTCATGTTTGTTTGTTTGTTTGTTTTTTGTTATTATAATCGTATCGGGGGGGGGGGGATAAAAAAAACAACAACACAATAATGACCGAAACGCGCGCGCGCGGATAACAATTATGAATTGTGTATTTTTTTTCTCCGGTTGTTATTGTTGGAAACAAACGTTTTTAGATAACGGGAAAATCGCGTTTATCGCGGCCGGTTATCTATCCGCTGAAGTCAACGGAACAACAATAATAAATAATAACAACAATCGTATTAATAATAAATAATAATCACAGCAGCGCGTAAATTATTGAACAATTGAATGCGAGTAGTAATAAGTTACAGTGCACATGCAGTTCATGCATCGTGTCGGTCGCAATGTTAATAAAATAATATAACACCGAGGTCGTCGGAGTCGGTTTTCCGAATTCTCTCGGACTTTACACGGTTTCAAAATTATTTTCAACGTTTTACTGGCCGCCTTAATGACTTTTCGGCTGATCTGCTGCGCGATTCCCGTTTAGGGAGAAGGATAAACACGGTCGTTCGAAATGATTATCGCCGGAAATTTTTATTACGCGAAACGCTACAATATTCTCGCTGACTATTTTATTATTATTTAAAAGAACAAAACATTTTACAGAACTCCGATTGTTGATTAATTGATGGGCAATTCATAAAAATAATAAAAATAACAAAATTGGAATTTTCGACGCTCAATTCAGTGACGAAAAAAACATCGAAGTTCGATACAACCAACAATACTTCCTCTTTCAAATTAAAAAAAAAAAAAAAAAAAAAACAAAAATTCTAATAGAGAAAAAAAAATGCAAAACGAGAAAGGGGAAAGGGGAATATTTGAAAAAAAATTACGGTTTTTCGTACCCATACATTTCAGACGGAATTGAAAACTCAGGGAGGGGGCAATTGCCCAGTCTTGTTCCGTTCTCCTCTCGAAACGCCTATACGATAATGAATATTTTATTATTATAAATCTGTCTGCGGACAACCAAAAATAACTGTTCCGAGCGGAAAAACAATTCGAAAGACACTTAAGTTGTCATCGAAAAATCGTGACCGGAATCGTGATAATGATACAATTTTACCTATATTCAAACATACCCATCGATTTATACACACTTACCTATTTATTGTATTTTTATACCCAATTATTTTTACCTGCAGTGTACACGACGTAATGATAATAATATATTCCTGGCCTGCCATTGATAAACGTTCTCACGTATAGGTTTAGGTATTTTATATACTTGCCCGTGTTGTTTATTTATTTTTTTTTTTTGTCAAAAACATAACGATTTCTGATATTTGTATTGAACAATGTCATATTGATTTTATTTTAACTTTAACCACTTGATATGAGTTGAATACAATAATAGACTTATTATGTCTATTTGTTTTTGTTTTCACCTGTATAGTAGTTTAGTGGACCTCAAAAGTTTTTTTTTTTTTTTTTGGTCCGCACAACTAAAAAGGTGGGAAAACTCTGCTTTATATACTAATAAAAAATGTCTCGTTATCATCCCCAGATATTTACTCGTTTGTTCAAATAATCTGATCATATTTTCAATACGAATTCGTATAGAAAACGAATTTGCCACTAAAACTCTGCAGATTTGGAAGAAACAAACAAAAAAAAGCTCCGTTTACCGTTTTTTCTCCGTATATTTTAACGAAATAAAAAATAAAATATTGTGTGTCGAGATACAAAATTTGTTTAATATAATTAATTAGGTTAGGTTTACTATAAAATATTATCATCACACACAACAACATATAGTAGTATAGTTAGTATATTTTTTATCTTTAAACTCACAATATATGTCACTTTACTGCAAGTATTATGTCATATTAAACCTATATTTTTTTTTTTTTTTCATTTCTTTAATCAGTACAATACAATTCACTGTCATTTCGCATATTATTTTGTAAATTGGAATACATCTCCGGAAATAAAGATTATTATAATCAGAAAACGTTACAAACGCCATAGACAAGAACAATATAAGTTATAGTAAGTATAGCTAGGTAGAACAGTATTTTATTGATGAAGGTAAAATTGTTTCGTATGATATTATCGCTTAAAAAATAATTTTAAAAAAAAAAAAAAAAAACCATTTGTCTCCGTACGTATACATATAAAACGTGTAAATGACATTTTTAAGCCAAATAATAATAATGTATAGTTTAGTTTACGTTTTGTACTTTGACAACATACAGTACCTAATACTATTAATAAACGATTAAAACAATATTATTAACGTACATGTTATATACTATTACCGCGAGAAACAATTGCATTATTGCACGCGTAAGACACTATTATTATATTATTCATAATAATACGTAGGTATCATCTGAAAAACGTATCGGTTTATCCGCACGAGTACAATTTATACTCGACACAATTTACTATCGTAGAATGAGGTTTATGGTAATCATACGTATGTACTGTATAGATAGATAATAATGCACGCCAATAGTAACGTAGTGTAATACGATTTCGATTGTAGATTTCGCTAGAGTTAATTATATCTTACTAATGATTAGATTTCAGTTAAAGAGTATTGATTATTGTACAACACGCACGGACGGCCCGTGGCCACAAGAATTTTCGGGCCACGTTCTACCGTAAGCGCAAATAAGGGGAGCTAGAGAGAATCAACCTCTGTAGAATTGCTATAGCCCCCTTCAAAAAAAAAAAAAAATAATAATATATTGGAGTTCATCGTATTCTAAGTATAGGAAAGCGTAAGAATATATATTAAAAAAAAGCGCTCATCAGCTAAAATCATCCCCAAATGTCAAACACTATTTGCGCCTACGCGGGTACGCGGCCAAACAACATTAAAGTTGCGAGGGTTTAACAGGGTGTCCCACCGTGTTCGACGGATTTTTCTAGCGCTGTTAACGTTACATTTTTTTTTTTTTTATTTTCTATTAGTTTGTTTTCGAGGGGGACATCGATTTGGAGAAAAAGTATACATAATTTTTTTATTTATTCACTTTGGAAAATGTTCAAAATAGCGATTATGTAAAAAATATTATTCAAATCATTTTAATGTATCACACATTCGTATCCGATTAATAGTTTCTTAATTATAGCCATTTTAATTTATAAAAACAATTAATATTCAACAAAAACTAACACGACGTTGTACGATACGGAATCGCAATCAGCACGGTACCTAATTCTTTACCTTCCATTGGATATTAATTGTTTTCACGCCTATTTTCTAAAAATTAAAACGGCTACAGTTAAAAAACTATCAATCGGATATGAACTTATGACGCGTTAAAATTGTCCGAATAATATTTCTTAAAATTACTAGAATGGCTGTTTTGAAAACCGTCTAAAGTGAATAAAGAAAATTAGAAAAATCCGCCGAACGCGGCGAGACACTGCACCGTATTCTATACAGTCAACTGTGGCAGTAATGTGTTACAATTTGGTCACGTAATATTAGCTAATTATATTCGTTACGTAAAGTATATAATATACAGTGTTTAATATTTACATATTATTATGAATATGAAAGGATATGAATGGACACATGAAGCGCATATGAAAGGAACAAAAGAGGAAAAAATTATTACCGTAAAATGCTTTGTAACGAGTCGGATTTGACGGCACATAGACGATATTTAATTCGAAAATTCGAGATTAAGTGTAATTTGTAGTCGTGACGCGATACACAATTAATATTTTATGCACTCGGAATGCATTGTTCGAAAGCGATCTAAAAAATAAAAATATGCCCATTACACTGAAATCCGGACCTTATAACGGTTAATCGTGAGTGCTTTACGCTTTTCGTTTTACAATTGCAATTAAATACTGTTAACGGGTACTGAAGCTTTCAAAACCAAGGCGGAATAAGTGCGATAAACACCGAACGAAAAGAAATTAATTTTACCTAGAAAGTTCATCTAGTACAGTGATTAATTGGAAAAAAAAAAAAAAAGGTACCGAAATATTATGGCCCGGTTCAAAATATTGTTTTAACGACAACGGAATCCGCCGTTTGGAAGACACTGGAAATAAAATGCATACTTATTGTAAAATGTTCGACAGGAATCGGCGCACATTGAGCAAAATGAGATCCAATAATTAATAATGTTATTATTTACAGGCGTGATTACTTGATTAATCCCGAGTGGATACCGGAAGACTATTTGGATTTTATCTGTTTCATACGCCAAATGTGCAACGGAACCCGACAGAATCGGATTTTTCTTTTTCGCGGCACACTCGAAGAATACACGATTATTTCCGTACACTTACTATTTGTCGACAACGGAAAAACTAAAATCGAAACCTGTACAGCAACAAATGTCAATTGAATCCAATTGCGCGCCGTTTTCGTTTTTTATATATGTACAATAGACGCCTAACAGATTCACAATACGTTGAGCAAAAATTTAAATCGTGATTCCCGACGATGTTTTCGAAACAAGAATAAATATTAGTGTAATATTAATATTACATTACGTCGCGTAGCAAGCGTATTATGGGATATATGTTTAGAAAGTAGAATAGAGTATAGGCGGCGTTTAACGTGGACGGTAAACAACGGTTGTGTTATACGGAGATATAAAACTGAAAAAAAAAAAAAACCTTATTTGTTGTTAGATAATAATTGATAATAATTATGTATTCTGTTCCGAACGTTGCGGTAGGTAACGCGGGCACTGCTGCAGGTTCGACCGATAAAAAAGTTGCGCAACTATAATATTATTGTAATAACCGAACGGTTATTGCGCGTCCGTACGTTGAAACGTTGTACAGGTGCCCGTGTACCGTTCGGTTTTCGCCGTGCATAATCATAAAAAAAAAAAAAAAAACAAAAAAAAACAAAACAAAACAAAGCCGTTCTCCGCGAAAGGCGGTTCGTTCGTAAACGGGGACGGGCCGGGAAAGCGAGGAACTCGCTGCGGGGAACTTTGCGAGTCGGCGGGGTACCGAGCCGAAACGAGCGTCCGGATCGGTGGTCCCCGACTCGACATCATTAGGCGCTGACCACTATTGTCGATATTAGACCATCGCAGACCATTTGGTTTTACACCCCTCCCCCCTCTCCCGCTTATTTCTGTAGATTTTATAATTTACACGCACACGTCGCCGGTTTTATTATATTATCGCAAAACACGAAATTCGTGCACGCAAACGGACGAGGGGGTTAGAAGTTGAAACCTCCCAAAAAGCGCGCACTTGATACAAATCGACGCCGTGCGTGAGTACACGCAAATCGATCGATCCACGATAAGACAACCGGGAGTTGTTAACTTTTTTAGGATTTTTTCTCAAGACAATTTAAGAATTAGGCAGTTCTATATAATGTTGCGTTGATCACTATCGGTGAACAGCGATTTTACAATCGAAATTACAGTTCGTTGAAATAACGGTAATTTCGCTTTTGAGAGCTGCTTGTTTCTTAAATTTTCAAAAAAGAAAAACTCCGAATAAATGTTGATGATTATATTGTTATTGTCTAACCATACAACGTATTATGACAAGCTGGAGTACAACGCGCGAGTAATATGCAAAAAAAAAAATTCGATACGTTTTTTTTTTTTTTCATTTACACAGAATTGGTAGCGGCTGTTTTTAATTAAATTATTCGTGTGGAGTACAACGCGCGAGTAATATGCAAAAAAAAAAATTCGATACTTTTTTTTTTTTTTTTTTTTTTTTTTTTTCCCCGTTGATTTATAAATACGTTACTTTATTAACTGTCGCTAATCAATTATTATCGTCCGTCTTAATGCATGTTATATTTTTTAAATTTCTACGTATACCTATATAAAAATGACGGAGAAAAAAACAATTCAAAACAAACGTACGAGTTTCGACTTTTTGAGTAAATACAATAAAACTGTTGGACGTGCCGTCCAAACACCGCGTCGTCGGTGGTCGACAAATCAACAAACGACTGCGGCCCGCGCTCACCGCCCGATATATTCTTTTTTCGCGCGTATTCACGCGTATTATTGTCTATTTATGCTAAAGGTCGGTTTACACCTGTCAGAGTAATCACGTCCGGGGTTCGTGACACGGCTGCGGTTCTGGAAACGTAAACAGTCGCCGAGTAACGTGCGGTCCACGGACCATACTGGCGCGGACTACCCGTACGAGTCGACTCGTCCGATCCGCGCGACCGGCGCGCGTGCATCAAAACGTTTTCGTACGAAGAGCCACTCGCGTTTACCACCAACGGAAATTATAATCACTTGGAAGCGACAATACGATACTTGATCGCGCTAATAAATTTTGATTTGTCAATATTTCATTTTCACGTCCATAGTTGAACGACGAATGTTCAATGTATATTTTCAGTTTGATAACCGGTTTGGGTGAAAATCCAGTAGTAATGCGAGTACAGGCATAATATAAATACCTATACTTAGTGGTTATGGCAGATAAAAAGAGCTGCAATATTCCACACGATTCCGGTACGACTACAGCTCCACGACTACTGTCGTCGTGGAACCAATCACTGAAATCTATTTACTATTATTTTTTTTTTATTATTATTATTATTAATATTCGGTAAAATTTAATCTCGTACACGATCATTTTCGTGGACCTCGGACGTGGTTACTCTGATAGTTGTAACCTGCAGGCCTCTAGATACCTACGAGTACTCAATATAAATAATACCGTGTTACAGTTACAATGTCAATAATATTATGGGTAACTACCGCGTTAATACGTTACAGCCGATAATTCGGCTGCCGGACCAATAATATACATTGACGCGCTACAATTGAATCGATATACGGCCAGTACGTCTCGCGCGTTTCAACGCGCGTCATATAGACGGGAATGCGCGTTACCTACTTACAATTTCGATTCACGGGTTTAAATAATACGCAGAAATCGTGGTGGGGGGAGTGGGAGGGAGATAAAATAATGGCGGCGGTAAACTAGTGTTGCAGTGTATAGCATACGGTAATATTTATGTTATGCACGCGTTAATTTGAAGGGCAAGCCCCGCGTATCGACGTGATAAACACCGGTACGGGTATACACACACATATATATATGTATATATATAAAGGTTAGGTTAAGTTAGGTTAGGTTTAGTGACCAGTCGCTTAGCCGGAGCCGTAGGTGCGCTCGTAAAAGTCGATCTCGTGCGGCAGGGCCAAGTTACTCCGGCGCCGGGGTATGGAGGACAGCTGGAAGTCGATGGGCTGCCTCTGGTCGTACAGCGACGGCGCCTGGAAAATGATGGCGCACGTGCCCACGATGCAAGCCAGCGTAAACACCCACAGGAAAAACCGATCGAACACCATCGACACGTATTTCCAGTCTTCGATCACCTGATTCGATGTGTTTTGTAGAATACAAAAAAAAAAAAAAAAACACAACGGAATTAGCATTGTTAAAACGAAAAGTAGTAATAGTTCTACATGGGAGAACAATTATACATCAATGATATTTTATTGTATAACACCGGGTACGCGATAAAGTGTAATACGTGTGCAATAAAAATGAGAGTAGATGGGAAACGATTGAATTTTGTTTTTAAACTGTTTTTACACATTTACGCGCAGATATAATCATTAATATAGGCAATTTTTAAAGGAATGACCGAAGAAAAAAAATGAAACAATGTTTTGGTTATATATATAGGCATCGTGCACATTATATTCCACATAATATGCAAATATTAAATAAACATTATAAAAATGTAGACAATGTTTAATCTTGAATATTGATAATATTTTGAATTGATATCAATGGAATAAATGTTCACTTAATATATTATAATAAACATGAAATGAAATGTAATCCGATATGAAATATATTATATATTATTTAATATATACATTTATATAGAATACATATTCACAAATCGCTTAAAAATGAATGTTATATTTCAAACCATCGACATATTTTCAATGAATGTGGATGAATCAATGTTTATACTTCTAACTAAAATTAATACTCCGTAAACATTGATTGAACATTGAACATATTTTGTGTGAAAAAAAAAATAATACTCATTAAAGGCTATATAATTGTTTATATTAGAATATTGAGAAGTCAATCTTAAATCAATATTTAATAAATGTTCAACATTATTTTTAAAAATTTGCAACACAATTGTTATCTGGAATAGAAAGGATTTTAAATTCGCTTAGCCATAATGAAAGATTATAAAAAAATATATATGTACAATAGCTACTTTTTCGGAGAATTTTAAATTGAAGTTGATCGCTGTTTTTGTTTTCGATAATTATCGAATTGTTTAGGCTTTCAGTTTATCAATACAATACACTGCTATACAATACGCATATTGAAGACCTGGGGGAGGGGATGCGGCTATTTGAAAATCAAAAATCGGTCTGAGCGAACAGTGTACAGATTAATATTGTAAACAGTGGCGTATTTTTATATAATAATTAGATATTATTATAACACATAGATTAAGTTTTCACCCCTTAATGGTGAAAAAAAATAATTATGTAAAATTGTAAAGCTTCTCATTTCTTAAATGTCCTAAAAATTAAATTCCAAAAAAGTCAATGCTTTCCGGGGTAATTGACGTCTCACGTTATGTTGATGGTGGTGATGCATAATAGTTATGAGAAAAAAAAAATCACACCGTATAAGTGGATATATCGTACTTTTATTAAAGGTACGAAAGTACACGATTAATGCGCCTTTTTTTATTTACCGGGCGTCTAGGTGATAATAATATTATTTCATGAGTCACTTATTCGTTACCTATGTTGTTGTTGTTGTTTCCCCCCTCCCCCTCCCCCCTCGACCGGACAATCTCGCTATTTAAACAATTAAATGCAGCCCGAGTTATTTGTATTACAATAACAATATGGTCGGAGTGGTTATACGATTATGATTTTTTTCGCGTTTGTTACTGCATAGTAAATCGATATGACATTTCGTTTTTTCGCACGTCTCGAGCGAATTTCGGAAACGTAACCGATAATACATTTTATGTCACAACACGACGCGCGACGTCATAACACTGATAGCGGCGGCGATTATATTCCATACATTTCATTCTCGACGCGTTATACATAATGCAGTGATGTCATAATATTAAAACCATGACGTAAAATCTATTTTCGCAAAAACTTTTTCCGATATCATAATCCCCCAAAAAAAAAAAAAAAAAAAAAAAAATAGATAATTTGTTTTATCGCGTGCGTTCATAATATTTTATACGAGTAAATGCTCACGTATAGATAAGGCACGGAAGTTTAACGAAATAAATAATTTAACCTGTTTGAATATTATTATTTAATTTAAATATACTTATTGAGATAAACATTATGATTTAAAAAAAAAATAACGTACAACGATATTAATTTCATTGTATTCGGTAAAACTTAATATTACCTCTTTGTCTTTGTCCGCGTCTTTGATGTGTTGAGCAATATAACAGACCCCTTGCAAAGCCTTGAGTAAATCTGGTGACATTGTCTTTGGCATTACATTCTCCGCTATAGACAAACGGAATAGGTAATTTTTTTTAATTTTTTTCTTTTCGTTATTTATTATAGTAATTATTATTATTACGATAGTATGTGGATACATTATTATATATTATATAATAGATACATTATCGAAGCTTTTTTGCTTGTCACGAACAAATTATATATATATACTTAGGTATAGTTATTTTTTTTTTTTTTTTTCTATAACCTTTATATACTTGCAGATAATATAATAACGAACAAAATTAAAACCGATTATATTCAATTTTACGTTTCGTAGATATAATTAATTGAGTTGTTTAATATTGTTATTTATTTATTTATTTAAAAAAAAAAAAAATGCTATAGAAGGAGGGAAAAAAAACAATAATAATATCATAAGATCGGTACTTACGATAATTGTGCGGTTGTACCGACTGTATCTTTTTGAAGGACCAGTGTCTCTGGGTCAAAGATGAAGGTTTCTGGTCAGTGCCACCGCTATCGCTAATGCTGTCTCGGCTGTAACATATTACAGGTGTAAGTAACGTTTGTATATAACTTAATTTCGTATACAATTTCCATAGAAAAAAAATAATAATAATAATAATAATAATAAATACACTTTGTCCCGGAATTATAACGCTGTCAAAAAGTTACCCGAAAATACCGGAAAAACAGCTAAATGTGCAAAACGTTTTAATTTCAAATAGTGTCTGTTATTATCGGATTGAAATACGCAAAAACATTAACATAAATAGAACAGTAATTGACCGCAATTGGCACGGACTAACGGGAAATATTACGAAAACAGAATTTTTCGAGATAATATTTTGGTTCGCTTATAATTGAGCGCTGATAAACGCCTAAAATTAGGTAAAAAATACGCGCTACAAGTTAATAAAAATAACCTAGACATACTAAAACAATAAAAAATGTTCTATATATAGAAAAATAGCGGAAAATTTAAAATATTTTTAATATTGAATTCACGTGTATTGAAAACAATACAAAATTGACTAAAGCCCTTATCCCCGGGACTAAATTGTCAGGTTAAATCGTTGAACTTTGCTAAAAACGCGAAGGAAAACTCCAAAGTATCCGTTATGCGTATACTCGAATCGAACTATGAACAGTAAAAAAAAAAAAAACGAAACGAATGTGCATAATTATTATTATACTCTGCATTGAAATCCCGGGCCTGTAATTATCGGAAGCTCTCCTAATCTCAATACCAAACTCCCACACCTGTAGTCTAGATCGTTGAAGTAACCCGGCGAAGTTTGGAAACCGTCGTTGGTCATCAACGAATACGGCGGCCGGCGCATCATCAGTATTTGCGGCATCATGTGCAGAAACACGGTCCGGACCCACGGCGATAAGGTGTGGGTGGACGGCGACCTTGTAACACAAACGATTGTTGTTTAGGTACCTATTAATTATTATTGTGTTTTCGTGGTCTGGGTCGTGTATGAATAGCTCACCGGAAATGGATGTTTAACACGACCACGGTCATGCCGATCGACATTGAAACCAGGACCATGGTGAACAGCAGATACTTGCCGAGCAACGGTACGGCCAGGGACGTCGGAGGGATGATCTCGGCCAGCAGCAAGAAGAACACGGTCAACGACACGAGTATGTTACTGCACAAGGTCACCTGCGTTAACAATAATTTACTGTAAAGGTCACATCACCACTAGGTCATTAAAAATTCGAGCATTCTCTTCATTCTGCAGTGTACTCATATCTGCGTACCTTTTCACCGGAGTCCGAAGGCAAATAGAACACCAGGACCGTCATGAACGTCAACCCGACGCACGGGATGATCAGATTAACGGTGTAGAATAGAGTTTTACGTCGCATTTTTATGTTGAACGTTATGTCTGTAACAATAGAATGCCAATTCGATTTGAGTTTTTTTTTTTTTAATTTCTTAAAAAAACTAATAAAATAATAGTGGTGTATACGGCAAATCAATAAAAACCTACAGTTTCGGCGTGTTTACGGTTTGATCAAAAAGACAATTAATTCTAAATGCTATTTGTACGTTTTTGTTTTTAATTTGTCCGCAAATAGTGGTTACTGAAATACACACATATTCAGCATGGTTTTTAGTTTCGATTTTTTTAACATTGTAAATACGTATGAGCTGTCGATTATTTTCAGTATAGGTGGTAGGTACGTTTACACTAACAACGTCTCATATATATAATTCGGGAAATACCGTAATTATTATTTTGTGTTTTGAACATCGCCGCAAGCAACACAAAAACAATATAAAATCCTGTTGGGAAATGATCGGCCTAAATTATTATATAATTTATGTTATTGTAATGGCGAAAAACTGAAAAAAAAAAAAAAAATGTGACGATAAATAATAACAGCGGCATAACATGTTATTATATTTCTCCTGTACAGCTATATCAGAAACGTTTTTCGTATACTGCCGATTTTTTTAAACCGACATTTTGAAAATGTGCGTACTTAGCAGACGAACAAATATGCGGCATATTATTTAGACGTATTATAGATATCTAGCGGCCGGTCAATTTCCAAGTATTTATTAACGATAATAGTACACGAATACACAATCCAATATAAGTTAATGCCGAAAACGATTGTATTATGATTTTTAATATTTTTTCTAATGAAACACGTCCGGTTAAAAACCGTGTTTTACTTATCGGTTTTGACGCATTTGCAGTGGGCATACGTAATAATATAATCGACTCATAAAATGTTATACTAAAATTAGGACGTCATGAAAATCGCGTTCGTTTCGATAACGTTCGCAATGCGTTGGAACAATAATAATTATTATTATTCTACATTGTTCGCATCGCAGTGAAACACATTGACCTCGTGAAAAATTGTTCGAAAAGTGAACAAAACAAAATACCTGCCTACTGCAAGTCTACAATACGATAAAATACCGACGAATAAACCGTCGGTCCCGAGAAAGAAGGGCTGAAATCGATTTTCCGTGGTTTTCGTACGCGCAAACTGCATTTTGAAAATACAATATATTTTTACACGAACGAATACATTACATTACACCGAGTTTCGAGTTCATACACTTACGCAATTTACGCAGCGAAAAATAAAGACGCGAAATTTGCATTAGACAATACTAAAAAAAAAAAAAAAACCGAAAATTGACTTAAGCCAAAAAAGGAGTCCCTAGGACCGAAAATATAACGATATAATATGGTTTAAGTACCTATATTTCTTCGTTAAAAAATTAAAAACACCGTTTATAAAGGCAGTACAACGTTATCGCGCGTTGAAAACGTCGATATTTCATCACGAATTGCACTATTACAATATTATAATACGCTATGACAAAATACTCGTATCACGAAAACAGTTTGCCCGTTTACACGTGTCGATTGCTATCACGGCGAAATTCCACGAATCAAATGGATATTATTATAATATTCGAATACTATCCTTTTGAGGGCAATTGGCTAATGTTCAAAAATCATAAAACACAGTGCTTCAACCTACTCCCGTCTTTCCCGACAACGAAAGTTGTTTTTTCACATTAATCACTCCGCCACATAAGTATACACGATACAAAACGCACGCGGGCCGTGTTCAATAAAATATTATTGATACAACTGTGTACGCTGGAATTCGTCTTGACCATTTCTGTCATCCGCTTTAGCAAATAGATTGCGTGAAAATTATTCGTAAATTAAAATTTTTGATGCGTTATCATAAGCGCAATCAGTGGATTGGCGACGGCGGCTTGAGAGAGAAAATGATACGCAATTTCTATTTTGTAAAAAAAAAAACACTGACACTGCTGATGGGTGTGCAAGATATGTAGAATTATTTCATTTTATATTTACATTTTATAGTATAAGACTATAAATACCTAGTGATAGATACTACCGAATAGTCACTAGTGAAGTGTTCGGAGGTTATTCATTACCGAACTACTAGATAGTTAATTCGAACTATTCGATAATGGAAAAATTATTCGGTAGTCGAAAAATTATTCGATAGTTTAAATATTATACGATACCCAGTCAAAAACTATTTGGTTATTCAATTTGTTCAGTATAATTTCGATCGTTAAAAAACTATTTGGGCATAAAATGTATTCGGTCACTAATAACCGACTAATGTTATTCGTGGATAATGGATATACAGGATACAAAACGAGCTTCGCATTAATGAATCACGTACCTCCTCGCTTTGTATCGGGGAACTTATCACATTCTTGTGTACCGTGGATGAACTATAATATGTACGTACGATACGAACACCTGAAAAACACTGTCGATAAACAATACTACTCAAATTATTCGAACTATTCGGTAATGTCCGTCACTAATCTGTGAGCAACATTATAAACCATTGCTAACGAAATACGATTTTGAACGGTGTTCAATTATACATGTTATTGTGTATTTTGAAATGCCGTGATTATTACGATTTTCGTCAATATTTGAACTTAAAATGCATACAAAAAAAAAAAAACTACTACATTATGTTTAACTTTATTTTCCTATCAAGTGCAATTTAATATAATGAACCTTATGATACGTTTTCAAACATTCAGGCTGAGACAAACAGTTTTATCCGAGTAGAATCGAAAAACTCGAATATATCTAATTCCTATGAATAGTTCAAAAATCGAAACGTGTTTCGGAAATTGTTTCAACGTCTAGAAGATAGTATAAGTATTCTGTGGATATTTCAGGTTTCTAAGATTATTTTTAACCTATCCAACATATTGAAACCGTGATTGCCGTACTAACGTATATTCCCGTTTTCCCTATATTTTTTTTTCCCCAATTATACAAAGAAAACTACAAATAAAATCAAAAAATGATCTTCTCGGTACACCAAATAAATTACTTTTGTTTCTAGAAAAAACGCTATGCTTAAAAACCAGAACGGGATTTCCGGTAGAAGAATTTTATACGGACAGAAAAAAAAAACGTATCTGTGAAAATCCGAAAATTCTCCCGTCGCGGAAAAAATCTACAGAATTGCGCTACTTGGCCGGCCTATTAAACGGCTTGCGGTAAGTTTATTATGCGAAAATTGAAAAAATTATGTAAAAAACCGCAATGGTGTCAACTCACCGGTGTAGGGTTCGTTGCAACAGGAATAGTATTCCTCGTTCCTGATGGCGGGCACTTCGAGTAAGTCCCATTCGACGGACAGATAGAATTCGGACAGGTCGATGCCCACGTCCACGCGGTTCCTGCCTTGTGACTGGTCGATATGCCTGAGGTCTACCTGCGCGGGGTTCGAAAAAATGTCATTTCGAATCGGATTGCAACATGTGCAACGAGTATATAGACGTTTACCTGAAGTCCGTTGTAAGTCCACGAACCGAACATCATGTAACAGTTTTGCTCGTCGAACGGAAAGTACAGAACGTTGATTTCGCAGTACGATTTGTAAATGGCCGGCGGCGACCACAACACTTCGCCTGTGTACTTGAGCACCGCTTTTGTCATCAGAGTCACTTCGTAGTTTCCGTCGGCACTGCGCAAAACAGGCGAGTACGCTCGATTATTATGACACGTAAGTGGTATTATTGTGTTTATGATTCGTTCATTATTTCGTTTATTTCACTTGGATTTACTACTGTGCGTCTACAATATTTTACATGTTATTCCTATGTGCAAATACATACTGGATGTCTTCCGAAAATATACCCATTGTAATAATATCTCCGGAGATAATAAAGATAATAAAAATGTTAGGTTTTTGTTTCAGATTACTCGCAGGGATTAGGACTACATCACTACGAATATCTATATTTAAATTAAAATATTGTATGTTTTGGTAAAAAAAAAAAAACCAAAAAAATAACTTTGTATTTTATTATTTTCGACAAATTCGACGTTAGCCATTAGTAGAGTTTATTACTCTGAACATTTTGACGTTTCAACTTTTTATTCTCATTAAATTCGTGATACTCAATATTATTTTATAGTTCAGATAAAAAAAATGTATAGTTAATTATTAGCCATAATAATAATAAGCAATTAGCGAGTACGATTACAGCCTGCTGCACGATAATAAGATACTTTTCTGTACATTTTAAAAACTATTAAAAGTCACGAATTTAATGAAAGAAATAAATTGAAACGTTAAGATTTTCAGATTACTAATAAGCTCTATAAAACGGTTATCTTCATATTTTTCGAGTATAATAAAATAAATAGTTGTTTATTTAGTTTTTTTACCAAAACATAAAAATTTAATTCAAATATAAATATATTTTGTAGTCCTTTTCTTAGTGAACAATAATAATAATAAAAAAAAAACAGAATTTGATTATCTTTATTATCTCAAGAAATATTTCAATGGTTATATCACCGTGAAACACTCTGTATAAGAAATTGTCAAATCACGCCCTGTAACGTATAGTTGTAGGAATAATAGGTAACAAATATTTATTTTATTTTTATTTCCTAACGCATCGTTTCGTCGTAATTGTTTAATTTTTCAATTATTTTTTTTTTTACATCTGAATATCATTATAACATTATACGTGATTACCGCGATGCAGTCTCGGTGTAACAAGTATATTTTCAGGAAGGGCAAAAGACTTCCCCTCCCCCTCTTAAATTTCAGAATAAATTAACAATTTTTTTTATTTTTACGCATAGGTATTTAGAATGTATTCGGCAGAATTTATAAGGAGGAGGAAGAGTCCGGATCCGGACCCCCCGCCCACCTGGTTTCGCCACTGTGGCAGTGCGATAAATCGACGTTAATAGTTTACTCGTTCTCCAAAGCAGGAAAACCGTATACACGTAACCGCGAGTAAATTTGTGTTGCGTAAGAATAATATTCGGACAAGTTTCTCACTCGGACTATAAGCGCACGATGAAGAGTTTTTTTTTAGATTCATCATGCGTGTTAATCGTGAATTTAAAAAAAAAAAAAAAATTAAAACTGTAAATAGGTACCTTTTTGGTTTTTTGGAAATTTACATTATACGGCAATAACAGTTATCACTTTATCAGCTATTTGCTTTTATATCTGTATACTCAAATAGAATTTTAAATCGCATAAAAACTGAAAACCGAGCAATTTTCGTAAAAAGCTATGACCCGTGGTATGCCGATTACAGTTTATTTGATTTGTTAAACGACGGTTAACTTTACGAACAAATGCGAAGAGACAATTTGTTCTCGGTTCAACAATTAAGATTCCGCTATACGAGTTTTCGTGATTTTAAAAATGTAAAAAAAAGTATAGACACGACGAAAACTCGAATTTTTCCCGTTTTCAGAAGGCTCTACGAGTTCGAAGCGCGCTCTGTTAGTAAAATATTATAAGATCCGATCCAGGGTGAAATTTTACAGATTCTATTTTTAAACGTATTGGAACGAATTCGGTAACACTAAAAATGTACAATTTAAAAAAAAAATAAATGTATAACCGGCGCCCACTAAGATTATTCTGTAAGCCGCCGTTTGAAAAAAAAAAAAAAAAACATAATATTCCTGCTATTATCGCATCCGACGATGATAATAATATTGTATTATTCGTGTCTGAACGAATTTTTAATGGCGTAAAAATACGTTTCCCCCGCGCGTATTATAATCCACGCGTTAATAGTTCTCGCTAGACGAAAACAATTCCAAGGGCAAACGAAACGAATATTGTAAATACGCATTCCGCGCCGAGACGAAAACAATTGGAAATACACAGATACCCGATTTAAGTCCCATTAAAACTACCGATAAATTGAATGCAGATTTCAGAGAATAACGTTCGCCGGAAGAAAAATATACGTTCCTACGCGTAAGTACCGAAAATTCAAAAAAAATTAACAATTTATTATTGACGGCGTTCCGGACTTGTGTAAACCTAAACTCGACAAAAAATAAAACAAAATGAAACTTCATCGCGGTTCTGGACGGAGGGTTCTGAACCCTCTGCAATTTCAACAATTCAAACTCTTGAAACGTTTTACAGCTTCGTGTAGACACTCGTGGATTTCTATGGTCCCGCGCCCAGCCGACATTGAAAATTTTACAAAATCACGCAAACGAGGAAATACTCGTTGCACAATAGAATACAAAGCCGTAGGACTTATTTTAAAATCAAAAGAAGGGGGTCGGTGGCTTACGCAGTCACAAAGTACGCGAACAACGCAACAAAGACACGGCATGATTTCCGAAGCACTGTGGCTTTAGTGGTACTTAAGTAATATTATAGACATTCTCCGGCGACAAGGCCGTCCTTATGGGGGAGGGGGTGTACAGAGCCCGGGCCCGGACCTCGCGGTTTTCACTTATTATAATTTAATGAAAAAAAAAAAAAACGAAAATGTTTTAAACTTCGCCCTGGGCCTCAAAAAAAACCTAGGGGACGGCCCCGCCCTGCTTGGCGACAATATTTCCAACATAGTTTACGTGTAGTGAAAAAGTAAAAAAAAAAAAACGAAAAACGAAAAAAACCGAACTGGAACGGTTGTCGGTTCGTGACGAAGATTCATATACGCAACACGCGAAAGACGAGAACACGTGAACGTACTGTTATTTTTTTAAGATATTCTTTTTTTTCTTCTTCGGTGAACTTTGGTATTTCCATACAAAATATAAAACGCGGGTTTATTAATCGCGTCGGTTTCGCATTACTTGTTAAACAGAACAATGTCCGGCAACCAAATGTGATCCGACGGCACGTACAACACTTCTAGGCCGCCGTAATTTTTCGGGTCCCATTTCAAATTGCAATCGAACCATTTCTGGATCAGCCAGACGCTGGTGGTCATCACTTGACTCTTGAGATTCTAAAAGAAAAAATAACCCGCACGATTATTATTGTACGCGCAGATCACCAGTACAGACCGTCGATCATACCATTTCGGTTAACTGAGTAAGTTTCAAACCCATCCATACGGTCAAGTTCTCCGAATGATTTTGGACGGGTCTGATCAACCGATTGTAGTTGCTCAGCAGATCGTCCAGCAAATGTTTTTTATATGGATTTCCTTCGAACTTGGTATCTGAAAATTGAACAAAAAAAAAAAAAAAAAAATGCAAACATATTAGTTATTGATAACACAAAATAGTCTAAACTCTAAAACACAAACGCGTGAAAATAAAACGTGCCAATACAAACATATTACGTACGTCGATATTTTGATTTCGTCCGTTCAAGCAAAACGAAAACGTATGACGTGAAGAAAAACGTTAGAAAACAAGTAGAAAGCCAAATTGTATGTATTATACATTTTTTATTATTTATTGGTTTTTGTTTTGTTTTTTTTTGTTTTAATTTATTTGTGTATAACACGATATCAATAATGATAATATTATGAGCGTAAGCATTTCGAACCATTAAACAGTTATAGAAAAACCTTTTTTTCAAACCCTTATTGAAAAACGATAAAAAGATTCTCGAGATTGTTTTTTTTTTTTTTTTTTTTTAAATAATTTGCACACTAAAATCGATTGGAAGCTCTTAAAACGATATCGAAACAATTACAACAGTGTAAAATCAAAACTATGCGGGGAAAAAAACAAAACAAACACGCTCGAATATCCATGGTGTTGTTATTACAAACTTTCGGGACACGCGAGTTCGACGTCGTTACTCGTACGGTTTTGCGGTTACGAAACGCACGTTTTTAGCACACGCCGGGGTTCTATTATATTACATAAAATTTTCTGCATTTGTAACTTCAGAGCTGTTGTGGCACGGGTTAAATTTATTCGATTTGTCTAAAACTTTATTCGTATCGTTATTTTTAGTAATGGAACTTATTAGGGGGGGGGGAGTAATTTGAAAAATTTGGTTATTTTCTTTTTCATACATATAATAGAGGACCACCCTAACATATATACATATATATATATACACTATATAATAACACCGCAACCGCTGAGATAAGGTTTCACCGTCCCCAAAGGAAAATGCATTTATCGATTTTTTTTTTTCCACCCGGCAAAACAAATCGTTATTACGTAACAAATTTTAATTCGCTGTGCGCGAATTTCAACAATAGGTATTTTTAGTTATTATTATTTTTATTTTTTTCGGGTATCTAAAGAATATGTTACGTGTTTGTATTGGCGGCTGGGTAGACAAAATCGCATGTATTATAATAACGCATTGCGGTCACGACGTCAAATTGATAAAAAAAAAAAAATATATCACAATCTTAATAAACGATTGTTAAATATAACGCAGTAAAGTACACTCTGTACGGTGTAACGATAAGATGTAAAGATGCAAACGTGTACGAGAAATCATTTTTTTGTTTTTTCTCCGTCGAGATTTGCACTGCGACAAACACGCGGTGCCGTATGTTATACGGCCAGGCTACCCGGAGCGTACGCGTACTCGAACAAATAGACGTGCGGAAAAAACGAACGGACCTACTGAAAATACGGCCGTAATCAACGGCTCCGCTCTGCGGCGGTGATTCGGCCGCTGAATCGCATTGGAAAACCATTGGCGTGCACGGGCGTGAGTTTATCGGGCAAACGCGTCGGACGGAGTGACCGACGCGTCGGTGTTTTGCCGCGTGCTCGCGACCCGCGACGACGCCGCGACAGCGGTTCCGAGGCGTCGCGCGAATTATCGCGGCGCCGACGACGTTTCGGCGTGCGGCCGCGGCGTACTTACCGTTCAGCGCGAAATCGCAGTAGGTCATCGCCGGCAACAGCAGCGAAAACGCGAGGAGCAGATTCATTTCGGCGCGGGTTTGGCCGTGTACGGACGGGCGCGCGGCGTACGAATACCGCGGTGCAAATGGACTCGCGGGCGCCGGACGGCACTACGTCGCACAAGTTTCGCGTCGGCTTTCCGCGCACCGCCGGGAAAATCGATAGCCACGCCCTCGCCGCGGCCCCAGCTTCACTAGGTTTCCGGGGACCCCGCGGCGACGGATTCGCACGCGAATTCCGCAACGGCGCTCGGCCGTTTTCCGACGCGAAAACGGCGCGCGAAACCTCGCCCGCCGCGCCCGCAAACGCAAACGACGGAACGAAAACTGCGCTGTTTGTCGTTTCTTTTTTTTTCTCGTTGTTTTTTTTTTTTTTACTTTTCCAATCCTTGTATCATAGACCGGTCGAATAGTCGAACGCGCCGTTCCGCGGCCGAAACGCTCTTCTCTGTCCGCATCGTCGCACGGCCTCGGCGATCCCGCGCGGTCCTCGGCCGGTTATGCCGTAGGTTTTCGCGCCGCTCGTCCGATACGCATTTGAACAACAACAGTAACGCCGAGTCTCGCTCGTGTCGTTGAAGTTTCGACTTGGATCCCTTAGCTACAGCGGACGTCGGTTGTTTTGTCGGTTTGTTTCATGTAGAAGTTATTAGATGGTCACATCTTTCGTCCTGAATTTTCAAGTCTCGTTACAATCCGTGTCGGCCCGAAAACTTTTCTCGTTCATGTCCTACTTTTTCAATATCTTCCCACAGAACTTCTTACGGCTTTGATACTTCTCTGAATAGAATGTCGATTGAGTGTGATAAATTGTCTTCTATTGATTACTTTAAACCCTACAGTCTTTCGATCCTAAAACGCTACTCACCGGTGATCCGTTAATACGGGTACACTCGTCTCGAGAATTATCTCGAAAAGTATTGACTTTATTCGGATTCGGATTTCTAGAACATTTAAGTGACAAATAGCTCTACGATTTTATATTTATGTTATTTTTGGGGGTAAAACCACTTATTACACTTTGTTGAAAAGTCCGATGGACTATTAGTTAAAATAAATGTTAGTGTTGTAAGTTTTTCATTTCCGTTAATCCGTTGACGAGATATTCCACTTTTAAGTCTGGCTTGGAGGAGAGTAGCGGTGCATTATTAACACGCCGCGCGCCGTACCACTACACAAATAGTCGGAGGAGAGTAGTGGAGTATCTTCACTACTCTCCTCCAGCCCAAACTTAAAAGTGGAATATCTCGTCAACGGAATGACGGAAATAAAAAATGTCAACACTAAAATTTATTTCAACTAATAGTCTATCTATTCATGACATTTTTAATATAAGTTGCCATTTCAAAATCAAAAGTAAGTGGCGGTTTTTTCCCCCAAAACAGGCTGACAACTATAACATAAATACACAATTCTAGAACAGCCTGTTTCTTAAATGTTCTATAAAACAAATTCCGGAAAAAGTTAATACTTTCCGAGATAATGAGTGTACCATCTTATATGGATCACCTAGTATAATGATAACTGATATTCGAATATTATTTTTGTTATTAACCGTTATTTATTCAAATTTTTACTTGTTAAAATAATTTTTGGATTATTTATTTGTAAGTTGGAACAATGTATACTTCTCTATTCATTTCAATTACTTAAATTAATTATTAAATTTAATTTATTTATGCATATTAAATTACTGTATTTGAGCCTTTGGCGTAAATTCAATAAATAAATACATCCGACAAATTTGTTTTCATAAATTGCCTTTATTATTGGCCTTCTTCACCCCGGTTTCTCCTTGATTTTCTCATCTATTATCGTAGTTGTCTATGGATTGTTCCTTATGAGATTACGTGATAATTTCTTTCTTTGTTTTTTCTCTTTTTTCAACCTTACCTAACATTCCATGTAGACTTACCTACTACCATTCGTCCTAAATGATGGTCGGCACACCTCACATCCTCTCTGTATCCAGATTTTCAATAATCTCTGGCAAACAAAATTTCGAAGACTCCTACGTAATACACAAATAATATTATGTATATATTTATATATTGGAAGAATTACAATCGGTACGACAAATACGATTGCACGTCAGAAAAGGTAATCACCTTGAACGATAACGGATCATGAATATAGCTGGCATTGCCATTGGCATAAGCCTGCACAGTATTGTAATGGGCGAGTTGAATAAATAACATATTACCCAAAAGCAGGTTGGGCAGTTTTAATTTCAATTCTAATTATGCAGCGATAAATCGTCTCAAACGAGATTTTTTTCTCGCCGGATTTTCGGGAATCGATTTTGATTTTCCGTTTTTCCTATGGTTTTTTTTTTCTTTTGCCGGAGTTTTCCCGTTATTAAGAAAAATACGATCAATTTCAAACATTCCCTCTCTACACCCCTCCCCCGCTTGCACCAATCAGATCCGAAAATCTGTTAATCCCAATGAAGTTTTCAATTGGTCGAAATCGTGTCAACTACAGACTGAAAAAAAAGCACACACCGTAGTTACAGTTAATAATATATTAATATGAATAATATGAATAATGCAAACCTATCAAAAATAAGTAACACATATTTACTATATATTTTAAAATTAACGATACGAAATGCATTAAACTGTCTATTTAAAGCATTTCGTTTGCATATTTCGAGTAAAATAATGCAAAGTTGATTTGTGTTTAGCGCATAATTTTAAATGTTTCAAGAAATGCACACGCCTATTACCTAGTACTATTATAATTATACGCAATGTCCGTTGCATATTATTTTATTACAAGGTTATACAACTAACTTTTCAACTACAATTCGGATAATTCAATTGCTTAAATTCAAATACTATACGATATTTATTCCTATTATTTCTCGCGCGTATAATAATGTCTTAAATTATTACGATCAGTGGCGAATAAATAATTTTCAAATTTAGCGATAAAGCCAATAAATTACTGTATACCGTATATAGGTAATGTGAGTGGTTCAAATAAATACGTACTCAAAATTATTTAAAAAACATGTATATATTTTGCAACGATAAAAACAAACGGTCGTAATATTTAAATTTAATTATTTTGAATAGTTCGAAATTAGTCGAATACTATATTTTATTACTGTTATTATTATAGGAGATTGGTACCTAAAATATGTAATCAAATTTGTTGTACCCAAATAAAAATCGTGACGGATTCAATAAGCTTGGGAGAAGCGTTTAACAACCGTAAACACCTGTCCAGCACAAAAAACACCGGCTTAATAAAAATTCATTTTTAACTTTAAAAATAATGAATGAGGCCTGGGATAGTTTTATGCTCAGTATACATACCAAATAAAAATTACGTAAAAAATATAAATGTCTATAAATAGCTCAAAAATGATTGAATTATCTAAATTTCAGATTTCCACGAATATTTTTAACTAAATCGCAACAAAAAAACCAAGATTCAAAATAATAAATTTCGTACATTTTCCGATTTTTCTATGTATTTTTCCAGGTTTTCCTAATTATCATGAAAACCACTCGGAAAATTACGGAAAAAGAACGGCTTTAACAACAAAAACGGTCTCGTGTCATTTTTCTATTGGAGCAATATTTCTGGTTGAAAACATAGTTTTTGCAAAAATTATTAACAATGAAATCGGTAACGCCACGGCTCGGCGCGCCTTAATTCTTTTGACCGTTTTACCGAAATTTTTCTTTCCAGTTTTTCTCAATCCTTTTGAAAACCCCTTGGAAGCTGACCACAAACTGACCTCCTCACTAATGCACCAACGTGATAAAATTTCCAAGATAAAATCTCGCTACGCTTCGAATCCAAAAGACAAAAAAAACCCATTACAACAAAACCGAATACATGTTTTCCTCGCTTTGCTCAGAATTTAAGATTTCGGTGAACACGTTTTCGCTTGTCGTCGTTAAAAAACACAACGCGTAAACACTGAAAAATGTAATAAACTAAATAAAACAAGACGTATTATATTATATCGTAGTATAATATGGCTGATGCAATAATCGAATGTGTCCAATTAATAATTTCGTAGATACATGTATGAATAAATATTTAAGTTCCAGTAACGCGTTACCACACACGGTACGATATTGCACAATTTTTTTTTTTTTTTTTTTTTTTTAAATCTCGTTTCTAAATAATGTATATACTGTACGTGCGTTTGCAGTCGGCTATTTAAACTAAACTTTCATATCCTTGATACCTATATATGTACATATACGTAAATATACAACATAATTATTGTGTGCGCGCCATGCGATTTGTATATTTGATTCGTACATTAGCTGGTGCATTAAAACCGCCACCCGTTTAAAAGAGTGTTTAATCGTTGTTATTGCATTATGATAGGCGAGGTTAGGTTACACGTTAGGCTGCGTTAATAAACCGTCTGCCGCGACGAAAAAGGCCGTATCATCTCGATTCGGGTGGTGTTTTTTTCGTCGACACCGATTCGTCTGCGGTTCGAACAGTTTGTTCGGTTTTAGAGTCGCCTTGGAATTTCTTTTTTTTTTTTTTTAATTTGGATACCTAAACTACGTACGTTAGCCAATAATCAGTTCTTCTAGTCCGAGGTCGCGAAATACCTTTATTATAGAACCCTATAATGTAAATCCCGCCTTCCCAACAACAGTGACAGACACTAACAGTCAGTGATGTATTTAAGGGCGTTGTCCCGGGGGGCTGACCTCTCAATTTTTTTTTCTAGTTCTATCCATTACTGAAGTATCGCAAAATATTGTTGACGAATGACGAAATGTTTCAAAACTAATTTGAAAATGCCCATCATGGATTAATAATAATAATAGGAGACCACCAAAACGATAATAATATTAGGTTTATGTGTATTACATGAATAAATTGTGAATATACGAATACACAAAATTAATTAAACTGATATGGGAAATTACTACGTAAATTTAAGTGTTAAATTAGTGTTAATTTATTCAGTCAAATCGTTTATATTTTATTCCTGTCATAATTTTATTGTAATCAAAAATTTGAGTAGCAATCCTAAGATTTTTACAATAAAAAAACCACTTATAAGGTTTTAAGATGTTTTATAATCAGGTACGAATTCGTGATGAAGCTATGTAATATTTGTGGAGCAATAGTATTTCCAAGAGTCAGGACACCCCTCGCTCCCCCCCCCCGAAAAAAAGCTTAAAATACGCCACTGTTAACAGTACACCCATCAATGCATTATCGGCCATTTGTATAAGTTTTATTTATTTTTTATTATCTTTCGAGTTTTTACTCTGGACTCTCGTGTTAATTTTGCATTTCGTATAATATTAATAACTCTTCGTTTCCAATAACATTAAAAACGTATTCTCTTTTTTTTTTTTTTTTGTTTTTCAAACAATAACTCGCACCTACATTGAACAATTATACTGATTTTTTTTTTTTTCTTTTAATATAAGTACACAAATTAATGTTTTTTTATTATAGAGTTCAACGTCCCCTAAAATAAAATATACTGAAATAAAATAAAATAAAATACCTGTGTGTTATTATAATCCAGCTGGTAGACCGCTACAAATATGATGAATATAATAGCTATGCGCAAATAATGAATTTAAATTACAGTTCGGTGAACGATATACGCGCGAGTACCTATATTTCCACGAATTCGAATCGCCTCGATGTTTGCCGCTTAATAATAATGCTGTATTCCGTAACTGTACGAGGTGACCCATTTCAGCGGGCACGCTCATTATCCCGGAGAGTATTAAATTTTTTCGGAATTTTCTTTTCTTTTTTTTTCTTTCTAGTACATTTAAGAAACAAGCAAATCCACAATTTTACGTTTATGTTGTTTTCTGCTGTCACCGTTATTTCCGGATGTAAAACCACTTTAGATTTTCAAATCGCAACTTGCGTAAAAAAATTCCACAAATAAATGGAGTATTGGTTAAACGATAAATTTCAGTGTTGACATTTTTTTTTTTTTTTTTTTGATTGCCGTCAACCCATTGACGAAATACTCCACTTTCGAGTTTGAGTAGTGGCAGAGTATGGAGCGGTGCGTTTATTAACACGCAGCGCGCCGTGTCGTCACACCACTGCTGTCCCCCGACCCAAACTTGAAAATGGAATATTTCGCCAACGGGCTGACGGCAATCAATTGTTTCAACGCCAACATTTGTTTCAACCAATGCTCCATTTATTTAAGGGATTTTCGATGTAGCCAGGTCGCCATTTGAAAATCAAAGGGAGATCGTGGTTTTATCCGAAAAAAATAACGCGACGAAAAACAACATAAATGTAAAATAGTGGAGCTGCTTGTTTCTGAATTGTTCTATAAAACAAATTTCGAAAAAAAAAAAAAAAAAAAATTAATTTTTTCCGAGATAACATGTGTAATCCACTTAAACATATTACCTTGTGCGCCGTAACTATAACCCGCGAATTAAAACGAGCGTACTTACACGTGTGTATAATTTTATTTAAGTCGTTAAAACGTTTTACAGCGAATAGGCGAGTATAAGTGTTATACGGAGGTAAACAAATGTCAATTAAACTCGCGGCGCAGATATTATAATATTATACAGTAAAGTGTCACCATAAGTGACTTCGGGTATAATATTCTGCAGCATAAATTAAAAATATTTACATTTCAGAATACGGTAAAACACTCGTTATTTCGCAATGTATTGACAATGTTTTCCCAGATCTAAAACGTTGCATTGCCATTATTTGTTGTCGTCCTTAATTTCGGAAACACGACGACTATCCACTACTATAACACTACTATCCACGACTATAACACGACTTTTGATTTTGATACGGCAACCTATATTAAACGCCCCATAAATGTATGGAGTATTAGATTCGAGTTTTACTTTTCGGTTTTGAATTTTGTCACTGTGCGCGGCGTTCGACTAGTGTTAGTTCGACTAGTTAAACATTTTACAGAACTGCATTTTGTTTCTTAAATTGTCAAAAAAAAAAAATCGTTTTGAAAAGTCAATATTTTGCGAAACAATTAGTGTTTTACGTTAAATGAATCACTCTGTGTGCTTAGGTACTTATTATGCTCGTAGTGTAATATTATTGTAATATCGTCTAAATTGGCCGACCGCCCCGAAACCACGCGGCTGGCCCATGTGTTAGTTTTCCAAAATATAAACTACACTTATTACAAAACAGCTGATTTTACTAAATCAAACTTAAATAATGAAAAAAAAAAAGAATAATAACAGAGACGGAATGGGTCTAAACGGTTTTTAAGGAGATGATTATAGTATAATAAATTTAAGTGGCCGCCTTAATTTACACGTTGACTGGACCGGAAAACAAATTCCTACGCTTGTACACACACGCGATAAAAAAAAAAAAATAATAAAAATATGTATTATTTTCTCGTGTACATCACAATTTATAATATACAGGGTAATTCACGAAGATTTCCCGTCTCCACGATAAAATTTCGGTAGCAATGCAGCGAAACTGTACGCATAAACTGAGATATGCCTAAATGATATTAAATTACGTTTAATGGTCATGCGGGAAAAATGTCAATAATTTCTGACAAATGTTTTTACAGACGGACAAGCTGCAGTGCACCTAATAAATGGCTTATACCAGTGCCGGAAACGACAGAAGAAAAAAAAAACAGTTCAACGCGTTCTTATCAACAGTCGAAAAATGTACAAAACGTATAAGTATCTAACACCATGTATAGTAGGAAGTAGTAGGTAACTGCAGCGGGCTTAAATGCGTCCAACATGTTTCGAAACAATTATTTTAAATCTACAGGGTTGTACAATACTTATGATGGTTTTTTTTTTTTTTTTTTTACTTAGCCCGTATAATTTAAAATATAATATTTGTTTATTAATTTTAAACTAACCGCATTAACTGTCCGTATACTTCATAGGGTATAATAATACCAAGGGCGTTCGCCAAGACGATCTGTTTATTATAGTCTTACGCGTGTATTATTACGGTACCAATTTGTATAACAGTTGATAATTAATATTGTTTACTATGATAGAATTAATAATAATTACGTGGAAATAAAAAAACACTGAACTATTCATTACCCGTTTATTAGCTATAACTACGAGGACACCGGGAGAACGTTGAAACTTGTTTTTGGTTTAAACTTCGGACGAAGAAGAAGAAAAAAATAACATTTATCCGCGCAGTGGCGTCAATGAGCATAAACGTGTTCTAACGCGTACAAACACACGATAATATATCGCTAAAGTATACCGATTTTTCTAACGTTTCAACGTACGGTTACCTATTCTTATAGCAATAACGCGCGGTCGTGTTTAGCGAAGAAGGCGACAATTGTGTAACATTAATGCAATCGTTTCCCGGTTCTCGTGAGAAACGAAAAATACAAAACGTCCGTTACGAACCGGGTTGTCCGGAGTAACGCAAGCCTGTTAACGAGTAAATGTCTTTCGGCGATATTGGATTTAAAATCAACGGGGACCACTTTCAGAGCCACACTGTATCATAAACGTTTGGTGAAAATCGCATTCCGAAATTCGCAACCGTACGAAAGATAAAGCGCATACGGACAGACAGACACGGACAATTTTTATAAAGTGACTTACGCTACTTCCTTCTTAATAACATTTTTCGCGTTTACAGTGTATATGTATACGAATATCAGGTGCCCACAGTATAAAGACAAAGGTCACGGGATTACAGCCAATGACATTCGAGTTGAATTATTATTGTTTTAAAGTTAATATACCGCTACAGGTTCTAACCGTCGAAAACTAATACGGCACATTTTACGATTATTTCCCGTGTCACGGCTCCCGTCGAAATTGCGCGAAAAATGTGCGTAAAAGAAAATTTAAACTAACGAGTGACCATTAAGAAAATACGCGTACACTTCCACGATTACACAGTGGCTGGTGCAGTATCAAACGGAGCTAATTTGTGCGAAATTATTTCGGAATAAATTTGTACACTTGCCAAATTGTTTGATTTTTTTTTTTTTTTCCTGAGAAACTAAACCACATACAACACAATGGATTAGAGCGCTCTATATATATATATATTATATAACACCTAAAAAATAACTTATTAAAACAATAACTGTTATTTATAATTTACATTATATTATATTATTATGTTATAGTCTACAAAGTACAAGTTGCATTATTATTATTATTATTACTATTATTAGTGAATAAAGAAGAAAAACGTTCTTTTTTTTATTTTTTTATTTTTTTTATAGTTCACAATTAGAGCAGAGATTCATATGCTCTAAAACCCTTTAAATTTATACGCACATAAATTCTAAGAAAAAAAAACTACACAATTCACGTTAAAAATGTACGAAATCTTTAAAATATTTCATAAAATCCCAAAATGCCAAAATAAATATGTAAAACATAATTTTGTATGTTTAGAATCGTTTAAGGTCATCTTAAGTACATTCTGATATAAACCAGCTACTTTTGTGACCAAGAACATACTATTTATTAATTCATTAACTTGCCCAATTAACATATATACAATATTACAAATAAGTAATTAGTCTGGGGGAAAAAAATGAATTATTAAATTCCGGTCCGGTCAAGCAGAACCAGTAGCGAAAAAAAGTTTTTTTAACTTAATTTGTTAACTAGTTTTTGTTAAGCTAGAATACTTATCACCTGTTATTTAATGACTCCCTTATTCCCTTATCACTTATTATTTATACCTCTTTAGTTTTACGACGTAAAGTTAAAACAAAGTTCATTGCCTGTTAAGAGAATATATGCATGAATCACTAATTGCAGAAAGGAGACATGTTCCTAAAACCAAATTTTACGAAAGACAAAAAATTATCTAAACAAGACTGAGAAGAAGTTACGCATAAAAATCAATTAATCACGTTATTATCCACCATTTCGATATTTTCCAAAAACTAACATAAACGCACCATTTGCCAAAATGACTGTAAATGTGCAAAACTGTGGGGCATGTCTCATTTTTGAACTTCGCCATTTTAAATACATTTGAAATATAGAAATAGTAAAAAAACCGTGTTGGCGAGTTGGCCACTCGAAAATCGTTCCCTAAAAACTGGAAACAAAATCCTTTGGAACATAGAGCTTCAGACGTTTTAAATCATTCATTTTTTTAATTTACTATGGGAATCGTTTGGGTTTAGAGCTGCTTCTTGGATATTTTTTGTTTATAATTCACGATTATTTTAAAATCAAAATTGTTGAATAATAATTTATCACAACACAAACTCAGAAACAGATCTACTCAAAATAACATTAATAGATAACAGGATGAAAAACTGTTGGCTGATAATGATAGAATCTGAACAAAATGAGTGATTCTGTGCTAAAACCACGTTGTCACAGTAATTTACTAAGGTACTCAGCGCAGAAACGGAACATGTCCTGGACTCGTCCCCTTTCTGCACTAAACGCTAACTTTAGCTGTTGACATTTCCATAACGGTTTAATGGACTAGTCCCATTTTCATAAAAAAAAAATATGTACGTGAGGGAGATAAATACAAATCCGGTAATAACTCGTCGGAAATTGAACATGTCCACTTTCTGCAATCGGTGATTCGTATTATTATACATAACAATATAAAACAATGTATTTTATAAAGCTTATAATAGTACTACTGATTATGAATATAACGGCATAACGAATCTCTGTAAATTGCACTACGGCATTACAGGGGGAAAAACGATTTCGGGCAAATGGGTTGGCACGTGCCTCCCCCCCCCCTTAGTTACGGCACTGCGGTCAAGTATACCTATATTAATAACAATCGACCTAGTTGACCTAATCGACTTAAAATTACAATTTTTTTTTTTTTTTTTTTTTTTTTTTTACTTCACTATAGTCTATAAATTATAATAGTTCCCGGCTGTTTGTAAACGATAAAAATAAATATAATTTATCGGCGCGCGGATAAATACTGTAATAATTGACGAACCGGCAATAATAATAATAATAATAATACTAATATTATTGTTTTAAAAGTGTTCTAACGTTCGCGATGCACCGAATAATAAATGTGACGCGTGTGTAATTTAATAATTTTTACCGTCGTTGTTTAAGAAAAAAAAAATTGGAACAGTTGTCACTATCAATGTGTACATACACTATAAATATATTATTATTATTATTATTATTATGCACAGGGTCTTCCGAATTATTATGAGTACTCAACAGTTTCGAGAGTGTCGCCCCGTCGTGGCCGTGCTCCTATCGTTATCCTATTTATTATACTCTCGAAACTGTAACACGTAACATTCGAAAGACCCTGTATAATGTTATGTTTAAAAACGTGGGGGTACCTATTTAACGGAATGGTATACGTTGAAACTCGTTTATTTACAACGCGAAACCCGCGTATAAAACCATAAAACGTGGGCATCGACAACTACTCCTCTTGTATTATATAAATTGCTGTATTTTTATAACTCGACGTATTTTTGCGACAAAAAATGTGGTGCACCGCTACAACGCTACGTACACACCTCCTCTATCTCTCTCTCTCTCTCTCTCTCTCTCTATATATATATATATATATATATATTAGTTTTATTTATAATAATTATTGTTAAAATATTTTTTTTTCGCCTCTGCCGCACCACGACAAAATAATAATAACACGCG